GCGCCCACACGGGCCGCAGCGCCTGCAGGCAGCGGTCCAGGCTGATGGCGCTGAGCAGGAAGCCGCTGGCGAACATGTTGAGGAAGAAGACGGAGGAGTGCAGCTTGCAGAAGGTGGTGCCCAGCTCCCAGGAGTGGCCCACGGCCAGGAAGTAGGTGAAGAAGGGCAGGCTGGCGGCGGCCAGCAGGTCGGACAGCGCCAGGTGCAGCACCCAGGTGGTGACCACGGTCTGGCGCATGCGACAGCCCACCAGGAAGAGCACCAGGCCGTTCTCCACCAGGCCCAGCAGCGAGGCCAGCCCGTGCAGCAGCGCCGATGCGTGGTCCATGTAGCGGATGCTGGAGTTGCTGTGGCTCTGGAGGCGGCTCATGTGCTCCAGGAGCGGGCAGAGCGGCTTCGCGGAGACGTTGGCCAACATGCTGGGCGCTGCCCTGCAGAGAAGCAGGCACGGAGGTGGGCGGTGCAGGGCAACAGGGGACCCTGGCCAGGAGACGGGGTCTGGCTCACGGATGTGATTGGCGAGGCCCCTGGGATCGGAAGTGATGAGGGACTTCCCAGCTCCCCTACTGCTGACCCTGCAGCCTCCCTCTGGGCAACATGCCTGTCAGTCATAACATGACCTCGCTCAGAGCGTGGTTGGGGGAGTAAATGAGCTAATATACAGAAGCATGTGGAGCAGGACCGGCCCACAGCCACCCCACGTGGATGTCAGCGTGGTTATCGTTGTTAGGCAGATGCCTAAGCTCACGTGGAGACAGAGGAACAAGGTCGGGCCAGGAAGGACCCCTTTCCCTGACCCGGGAGAACGAGCGTGGCTGAGGCCTCCCCTCCAAGGCAGGAGGGCTCCGCGGGCCTGGGGATGGACGAACGGACGGAGCCTGTGCCTTTAAGGGATGTCGTCCCTCCCCCACCCACAGCAGCCTCTGACCTTGTGTCTCTGCAGAGTCTCCTTGGGGCCCTTTGCTCCCACAGTGGCAGCCGGTTGGGTGTGTTGACGGTAAATAATGGAGCGGCCCCTCCTCTGATGGTTGAAGAGGAACTAAGATAAGAGTGGGGAGCGCTGCGCAGGAGGAACTACCTGCTGGGCCTCCGGCAGAGACCCCTCCCCTGCCCGGTGGGAGCCCCAGCCAGCGGCTGCCCCAGGGAGCCCCGCCTGTTCATTCATTTGTTCACTGGGCCGTGCACTCCTGCAACAGATGCTGCCTGAGCAGCTATTCCGGGAATCGCTGGAGAAGCCAGCCTCCGGCAGGTGTGCAGGCCCCGAGATGTGCACGCCCACAGCCTCACGGAGAATCTGACTCCATCTGATGTGAGGGCTGAGGAGGCTGAGAGACTGGGGCTGCCTGGACCACGTCTGGAGTCGGGTGGCGGGGGATGGGGGGGAAGGAGGAAGGGGGGAAGGAGGGAAGGGCTCAGGTTGCCCGGGCCCCCACAGCACGCCAGGACTGTGGTAGGTTTCTTACACGGATGCTCTCCTGCTTACTGCACTGCAAGAAAGGTGCCAGTACTTCTCTCCATTCCATTTTGCAGATGAGAAAACTGAGGCGCGAGTGTTTAAATAACTTGCCCCAAAGCCACCCAAACCATACAGACAAGCAGAGAAGTAACAGTTTAGCGCTCAGCCCGCGTTCTTTCCTCTCCCTCTGCTCCGGGTGAGAGATGATGGAGGAAGAAGAGAAGGAAGTGGGGGGAGGGTGTCCCTCTCCCCAGGGGAAGCGCTGTCGGCCAGGATGAGAATGTCCGCCCCCTTTGCAGGGTGAGGTCCTGGGATATCAGTCTAGAACTTCCCTGGCAGATGAGCCCCTTGGCGCTGGGATGCAGGCAGGCGGGTGGGCGCTGAGGGGCCGTGCTGCCTGAGAAAGCTCACTTCCTAAGCGTTAGTTTGTGGAGCACTCACTCACTCGCTCACTCACGCACAGTGGCCTGTGTGATCCCACTTTTCAGAAGAGGAACTGAGGTTTGGAGAAGCAAGTCGCCCAAAGTCTCCCGGCAGGCAGCCGAGTGCCATCCCCTCTGCACCTGGCCATCCCCTGCGGTCCAGCAGCTGCGCCCAGGGCCCCTGGGGGTGCTCAGAGAGCACCAGCCTGCCGCCCCGGGGAGCAGCCAGGTGGGTGCTCTGGCTGCAGAGTCAGCCCCGGCCTCAGGCATCGGAGGGAGCCCAGCACGGGGGCCGTCTTGGCGGGGGCTGGAGCAGAGAACACCAGCTTTCAGAGTCAGGGGCCCGGGTCTGCACCCCGACTCCTCGACCTTCTGGGGGGTGAACTCGGGCCTGTGACCCCAAGACCGCTGTGCGGTCCAGTTAATGCTGAAGATAATGCGGCCCCTCCTCTGAGCAGCACGTCCCCTCCCGTCTGTGGCAAACCCAGCCCTCGGCCATCCTAGCAGCAGCCTCTCCCCTGGAGAAACTCATCTCTCGGTGCAGAGAGGGCACCGCACTGCCCGGCCCGCCACCGCCTCCTTACCTGGGCACCGAGGGAGCGGGCACAGGGTCCCAGCCCTGGACACAGGCGGTTCTGGTGGCAGCCAGACAAGAGCGCTGGTTAGGAGGAGGCAGGAGCGAGGCTGAGGGAGGAAATCCTCTCGGGCGAGTGAGTGTGTGTGTGTGTGTGTGTGTGTGTGTGTGTGTGTGTCGGGGAAGGCGGGGACAGCCGGCGGGCCGTGTTCAGGAACGTTCATCTGCTTGATAGGGAAGGGACCTGACTGCGCCCTCCTCCCTCCCCCCCTGCCCCCCCCCTTGACAAAGGAGACCTTACAGAAGCCGGTGCACAAGCACGTGGGAGACAGGTGTGTGCCCGGGACTGAGCCCACGTGTGCAGAGGCAGGTGCTTTTTAAAGAACTTTTATTGGTTGATTGAACTTTTATTGGTTGGTGGATTTGAGAGAGAAAAACGTTGATTTGTTGTTCCACCTGTTGATGCATCATCGGTTGCTGCTTGTCTGTGCCCTGACCGGACGGACAGAGGTCGAACCTGAAACCTTGGCGAATCGGGACGAAGCTCTAACCTACTGAGCTGCCCGGCTGGGCCCAGGCGGTGCTTTTGAGAGCGCCCAGCAAGTAGAGCGCCTGGCACACAGTAGGTGCTTATACAAGTCCCTTTATTTCCCCTCTGGAGGAACAATGGGTATAGGCGCAGGGTGAGGACAATATCGCTTCTATTCAGAATGCCCTAGCCCTGGGGTCCATTTAAAAAGATGAAATAAAGTGCCCTGGGAGGCGAGCACTGAGCTGTGAGGGTGCATTGACTTGCCCCTCAGTCTTCACTCCCGTGGCTGACGAAGCTTCCGGGGCCAAGGACACTCCTTCCAATGTCCCAGCACCTTGGAGCTACTCAGTGACACAGGCTATGCCCTGGCCGGCGTGCTCAGTGGTTAGAGCCCTGGCCCCAGTGGGGGCTTGACGGGGAGGCAACCGATCGATGTGTCTCTCACATCCATGTCTCTCTCTCTCCCCCTCCCCCCTCTCTTCCACTCTCTCTAAAAAAACCACCACCACCACCACCAACAAAAACATGTTGAGAACTCAGCACCCCCATATCAGGGCCAAGGGTGCGCCTCCGTGGACTGACTCTGCAAGCTTAACCCACAGGCGGAGAAACGCAGCCCCGAGCGAAGAGAAGAACGGATGAGGTGACACGTGCGAGGCATCTCTCACTGGCGCCCGAGAGGGCTGATGAGTCAAAGGCTTGATCGTCCAAATCCTGGGCCCGGAACTGTCCTCCTCCTCCGAGGGGCTCCGTCTCCCAAACACCCATGCCTGCAGCCTCCCCCACCTCCCCACCTGCCGACCCAGGGGCCTCCCCTCCCGCCAGTGCAGCGGGTGAGCTGCCAGCACTGGGTAGGGCACTGCCTCTCCCTGGCCGGGTGAGCTCCGCAAGTCCCTTCCCAGCCATTAAGTCTGATTTCTCCTTGGCGTTCTCCCAAATGCAGGGGCTGGTGCGCAGACTGCCCTTCGGACTAAGAAGGGACCCCCTCCCCCGCGGAGAACCTGCCAGCGCCAGGCCTGGCTGGGGCAGGCACAGCCCACCCTCCACGCCCTCCCCGCCTGCCAGGACCCTCTCAGCCCCCTCCTCTGTCCCTCCCTCAACCTCCCAAGTGACAGCCCTTTTAGTGGCTGAGAGCCTCACTCCTGGCCCTCCCCCATCCCGTTTCCTGTCCTTCCCTCGATGCGGGGGCAGGGGGGGGGGCCCTGGCTGCCCTCCCCAGGACAGCTATGGGCCCCCTGGCCGCCCTCCCCAGGACAGCTGTGGGCCCCCTGGCGCCCTCCCAGGGGCAGCTGGTGAAGAGTGACGGACACACCAGCACGCACTCAGAGGCGAGGCCCCCGGGCCTTTTCTGAGGAAGCAGCGTGGTGTTTGTTTTTGTGGGCTCCCACCGTGGGAACCGGCCGCCCCAGCACGCACCGCAGCCAGCGGGAACCCACTCTCTCCACGTGGAAGACGGACGGATGGACCGGATGGACCGACGCCAGCAGGGCAGGATGGCCTCTCCCTGGGGCCCAGGACCCGGAGCCAGAGCAGAGCCTCTGAGCGGAAGAGTCTTGGGAGGAGCTGGAGCAGGGGAGCTGGAGCAGGGGAGCTAGAGCAGGGGAGCCGGAGCAGGGGAGCTGGAGCAGGGGAGCTGGAGCAGGGGAGCCGGAGCAGGAGAGCTTGGAGCAGGGGAGCCGGGCAGGAGAGCTTGGAGCAGGGGAGCTGGAGCAGGGGAGCGGGAGCAGGGGAGCGGGAGCAGGGGAGCCGGAGCAGGAGAGCTGGAGCAGGGGAGCCGGAGCAGGGGAGCGGGAGCAGGGGAGCTTGCTGGCCCGAGGCAGAGGCAGGAGCCTGCAGCAACCGACCCGACCTGGAGCCAGCAACCTACCAGGCTGAGGCTGAGCAGGAGCAAATCTGAGCAGAGCGGCTGTGGAGGCCTCTGTGGCGGTGTCAGCCGGAGCTGCATGCGGGACCCAGGAAGGGCAGGCGGGCCCTCGCGGAGCTGAGTCCTGAGGAAGACGGCGGGGCCTTCGGCAAAGGCCTCAAGGGTACAGACCAGCAAGTACCCGACTGCCAGGCGCACCCCCAACGTGTCTGAGGGTCCAGCAGGCCTGGTGCAGCCTGGACTTTGCGTTTGTATCGAGTCTGGGAGAGGGGCGGCGATGCTGCGAGACCCACGGGGTCGAGAACTCTCTGCCAGTGAGTCTGTCCCTGTTTTTTTGTTTTGTTTTGTTTTTTTAAAAATATATTTTATTGATTTTTTACAGAGAGGAAGAGAGAGGGATAGAGAGTTAGAAACATCGATGAGAGAGAAACATCGATCAGATGCCTCCTGCACACTCCCCACTGGGGATGTGCCCACAACCAAGGTACATGCCCTTGACCGGAATCAAACCCGGGACCCTTGAGTCCGCAGGCCGACACTCTATCCACTGAGCCAAACTGGTTAGGGCTGTCCCTGGTTCTTATGAGCAGGAGAGACAGGAGGGAGAATTAACGCCTAATGAGCACTTACGTCTCATGGCATCCACTCAGGTTGATCTCAGTCTTTTAAAAATATATATATATTTTTATTGATCTCAGTGAGGAAGGGAGGAGAGAGAGAAACATCAATGATGAGAGAGAATAATGGATCGGCTGCATCCTGGAAGCCCCGCACCGGGGATCGAGCCTGCAACCCGGGCCTGTGCCCTGACTGGGAATCGAACTGTGACCTCCTGGTTCATAGGTCAACACTCCACCCCTGAGCCACGCCGGCCGGGCGGGTTGACCTTATTCTTACCCCCATTTCACAGATTAATAAATCAGTCAATGTCGGGTTCGAATGCTCACTCCCTGCAGACGCTGTTCTCAGTGCTGTAGGTGGCTGATTCCATGCCATCCTCACCCATGCCCACAGGTTAGGTGTAGGCATCAGCCCACTGCACAGGTGAGGACATCGAGTCGCTAACTAGGTAAGTGCTTTTACCAAGTGGGGGGTGAGTGGTGGAGCCGGGACCCCTCCCAGGCTGACGAGCTGGCACCCATGAGCCTTTGGACAAATGGGGAGTCATCACCAGGGGCTCAGGGCTTCCCCTCTGGGACATATTGGCACCACTTTTTAAAAAAAATATATTTTATTGAATTTTTACAGAGAGGAAGGGAGAGGGATAGAGAGTTAGAAACATCGATGAGAGAGAAACATCGATCAGCTGCCTCCTGCACACCCCCCACTGGGGATGTGCCCACAACCAAGGTACATGCCCTTGACCGGAATCGAACCTGGGACCCTTCAGTCCGCAGGCCGACGCTCTAGCCACTGAGCCAAACCGGTTAGGGCTTGGCACCACTTTTCTTGAAGGCCCTGCTGCCCGGGGCCACAGGAAGCTCCCTTGTCCTTCTCTGCCTTTCCAGGCCTCGGGGGTCACGCTCTCCCCCGGGTAAGACTCAGGACAAGTTGGGAAACACCTTTCTCCGTGTCACCCATTCCACCCCCACCGGGATCCCGCTCACCCCTCCTTTACAGATGGGGGCGGTCCCTGCCCTCCTGAGCCCTGAGCAGAGTGGAATCCAGGTCCCTCAACTCTTCCGGCCACCGGCCTCCCTGCCACCAAAGTCCACCCCCTGCTCCCCACAAGCCCCCGTCTGGGTCAGGGAGAGCTCTGGGTCCCAGGAGAGAGCGACACACACAGAAGGAATGGCGGCTGCGAGGAGCCGTGGTAACAGTCCCTCCCGTCGAATCCTTGCTGTTCACAGAGAAACAGAACCTCTAGTGGAGAAACCTGGCGGCCCCAGCTCACCCAGGTGATCACTGGCTTTGGCAGCAGCAGGACAGGCAGGCGGAAAGCTGGGAGGAACGCACCATCTGGGCGTCCCGCCTGTTCAGGGCTGAACAGTCCCCCCCCACCCTCGCCCCCTAACCCCAGGGCGTCAGGCTGCGGCCCTGCTGGAGACAGGCGTTAAGAGGTGATGACAGGAGTTAAGAGGTGATGAAGTTCACATGAGGCCGCGAGAAGGGCTGAACCCGGTCCGATGGGTGTCCTGGTAAGAAGAGGAAATTTGGACGCTCAGAGACGTGACTTCCAACGTCCAGAACTCCAAGGAAATCGGTGTCTGGCCCAGCCACCGGCCTCCATCCGTGTCTGTCATGGCCGCCCAAGCTAAGCCACGGCCGCCCAGAGCCCCACCTGCGTCTAATCGGGAGGAAGCGGCAGAGAACCCCAGCGAGGCCGGCCTGGCGCACCTGGCCTGCAGGCCCCCGGGATGTGCAGGGGGTGACGGGGGGAGAGTGACAGGGACTGTCCCAGGTCGGAGGCGGCCAAGGCAACAGGATCCTGACCTTGGACGGGACGCTGGCCTAGGAAACCAACACACAGAAAAACATACCTTTCTCTCAGCTATAAAAGTCCTCATGCCAACACCCATGAACCGAGTGCGTGAGGTTCGTAGGTTACACAAGTGGGTACAGAATGCTGACCTCCTGATTTCTATCTGTTCACTGTGGTTGCTTGTTTTCAAGAAACAGGCGCTGAAGACCTTACGGGGCGAAGGGGGAATCAGGTGTGTTGATGACTAGCTCTCAGATGGCGTGGAAGGGTGTGTGTGTGTGTGTGTGTGTGTGCACAAGAGTCAGAACACCAGTTCCTGCTGGAGGAACCTGGGGGGAGGGTATATGGGTATTCTTTGCAGTGAGTCTGAAATTATTTTTTTTCAAATATATTTTTATTGATTTCAGAGAGGAAGGGAGAGAGAGAGGGAGAGAAAAAAATCAATGATGAGAGAGAATCATGGATCGGCTGCCTCCTGCAGGCCCCACACTGGGGATCGAGCCCGCAACCCGGGCAAGTGCCCTGGCCGGGAATCGAACCACTCAACCTCCTGGTTCATAGGTCGATGCTCAACCACTGAGCCACCACGGCCGGGCAAGGCATAACATTTAAAAAAAAAATTATTTTAGATTGGAGTCGGGGGTGGGAGAGCGAGAAACATCAACGTGAGAGAGAAACATCGACCGGTTGCCTCCCCCACACACCCTGGCGGGATGGACCCCCACCTCTTGGTGCACCAATGACACGCCAACCACAAGGATTTTAAAAACATGCAACCGCAATCCCCGACTATTCAGTCAGGGGCCCTGGCCTCTTTCTCCTTAGATTGAAAAAGGGAAAGACAACAGCCAACACAACAATAGCCGTCCAGTGTGAATTAATCAAAATGATACCATTTTTTTTGGGTCAGATCAGCCAAAAATATATTTTGGGTGTGCCATGCGATAACAAAGGTTGAAATCACTGCACTTATTGGCCCCAGCTCACACACAGGAAACCCAAAGCTCAGGCAGCCGTGGGCCTCAGCCTGCAGGGGACGGTGCTGGCTGACCCCGCCCCCACCCGCACCCCCCTCCGGGCTCTGGCCTCAGGTTACTCCAACCCTGTGCGCTGGCACTTGCTGGGCGGGGCTCTGCCAGGCCCTGGGCCCCGTGTGGCAGGAAGCCAGGGCGGGGACACCCTCCGAGGATGACCGTCAAGAGCGAACACCAGGGAGCCCTGGGCTGTGCCCGCCTGCGGGTGGCCGGGCGCCGGGCTGTTTGGAATAAACTTGATTTCTTAGGACGGCGCCAGGTGGACAGCGCACCGTGAGGTCGGCACAGGCTTCCCAGACGCCCGCAGCCAGGCTGCCCGTCGTGAGCGCCTGGCACTAGGGTGGCGCAGGGGTTGGGCTGGGGAGCCGAGGTCGTCCATGGTTAGCAACGGCAGTGGTTGCCGCAGCTTTTACCGGATGTCCCTCTCCTGTGCCAGGACCATAGGAGGCCGGTGCCACTTAATGCCCATCATCCCTGTTCGCTTTTATGAGCAATAACCACGCGTTAGTAGTTGCCTTGACTCTCAGGAGAGCGCTGTGAGGCGCTACTTGCTCACCTGTGGCCCGTCCATCCGGCCGGCCGGCTGCACGCTTTGAGGGCAGGGCCGAGGCTCGGGCTTGTTCCGGAGGGGCCTGAGGAATGGGGTGTAAACTCACCCGCCTGCCGCCCACCACCCCTGCCCTGCAGCTCAACCCGAGGCCCTGAGAGTCTGGCTGGGCAGGGAGGGGACCTGAGGGCAGTGGGAGAGCCAGCAGGGCCCAGCC